TCATTTACCTTCATAGTTAAAGTCATATCGTTTATTTACATTTTAGTTTTAGTTCACTTTAAAACCAACCAAACATTCGATCGCACTTAGATTAAGTTAGTACTTGCATTCTCATCGCTTCTACTTCCCTCAGAACTGGTTCGACAACTTACTTCACTATACAACATTTGACTAGGAGCCTTGAAAACTCCTAACATCAGTATGGTTGATTAATAGCTTAATGGTTATATTGTTGATTGTTTCTGACCTGTTGTTCACTATTAGGACTAAAATTTCACCGACACTGAAGCTTTTTATTCAGTTATCTGTGACTATAAGTATCTCACATTTTACATTACTAGTACATGTATTATTATTTTAATACTAAGCTAATCTTTAAATCAGTTCATTATACATATAAAAATGTAAGCAAAACTGATGAGTAAAATTTCATTCTTTTGTCCACTATTCCAGACGGTGAAATTGGTGATGAAATATACAAAATTTGATCTATAAAAATAAATGTTCTGCTTAACTGGATATTTCATGAATAAGTAAGCTGATGTCATGCATTTCCCTCCAAAATTCGTTCCCATATGCCGTAAAAAAACGTCAAGACTAATTTGCTAGCACGGAAAGTATAGTGTCCATATCCGCCCTAAACACAATGCGTTCTCGCTAGGTCCGTGGATTATTTTGTCCGATGGTTGGAGAAGCGTTAACTTTTACGAGTCTTTATTAGCTAATCTTTCAATCATCACAGTTTTTTTTCCTGTATTTTGGTTTCACTTGCATTTCGTTAATAGTTATCCAATAAAATATATATACTTTTACAATTCCAATTCTATTTAAATCTAAAATTATTTTCAATTTTTGCTGACAGAAAATTATTTTCAATTAAAGATATGTTTTTCAAAAAGTAAAATTTTCCCCTATAACTATAAGAAAACATAAGCTCACTATCTAACTAAAAACACGTCCTCTCTTTATTTCTCTTCCTATAACTCTCTAAATTTTCACTAAAAATCTAATTATTCTTTTTTTTGTTATTTGGCAACTAAACCTTTTCAAAAATCCAGTCCACGTAATTTGTTAAAAAAACAATTATGTCCGTCCCGATTTGCTAAAATTTACAGATAACTAGCATGATCAATATTATTAAACTAGGTGATTTTCCCGTGCTCATGCACGGGTATGAATATTCATAAAAATAAAATTTTATAATAATATCGATATTTAGTTTTAGTTTTGAATCAATTTATATTTATAATTTATATTAATATATTACATTATTCTAACTATACATATGACTTTGGATATATTATTGTCGATTTAATTATTTTTTAGATTAATAGTCGGTTTGGTTATCAATTTGGCATATTGAATAATATCTATTTTTCGAGTTCAGCTATAATATTTTTATTCTAAATATAATAAAACTTTGATTAGTTTTCTTATTTCATTTCGGTTGGTTATTGTCTTAGACATGTAAATATATTCTTAGATATGTAAATATACTATGGTTAAATTATGTATAACTTAATATATATTGTGCTTAAAAAACAAAATAAGTTGAAGTGCTTGATTCAAAATTACATAAATGAATATAATGATAAAATTTTGAAGTCTCATGCATATATATAAATTCTACAAAAGAATTAAATTTTAATTGGTTAATATTTTCTTTTTCTTTTTAATATGCTTTGAGTCAACCTCTGATTTATATGTATAAAATTAAATATATTATTATTATAAATTATATTTTATTATTGTAGTTAGATATTTAGTTTGGATATAAATTAGATTAGCCGAGTCATTCATTTTGTGAGTATATTGAGTTAAATATATTTTTAAATTAAAATTGAAGTATAATTACTTTTTATTTTAGTTAAGTCAAATCAAATTATTTTTATGTATCGCTTAAATATACATGTATTTTCATAATATTTATTTACTCTTTATTTTAGTTAAGTCAAATCAAATTATATTTTCATAATATTTATCAAATTATATGTTGATTTCTAAACAATATTAGAAAATAAACTGTAACTGATAAAATTTTGGATGTTCATGAACATATATATTTTATTATTATGAAAATATATTTTATGTTATTTAAAATATATATTAGTGGGGTATTACTATTTTGTGAACTTTCCTTTTTAATAAAGTCATATTATATAAATAAAATTTCGTTTTTAAATTTGTATTAAAATATTAGAAATATTTCCTTTTTATTATATACGTTATTTGGAAAAATGTAAAAAAGAAATTACAAAAAAATTAATAATAATCTTAAAATCTATCTAACAATTCATTAAGAGTATCTATGTAATCAACCATAGCGAGAGTTAACGTGAGCGCGACACGTAGGACACTGACTTCTCAAATAATATTATAAAATTAAATATATTATTATTATAAATTATATGTTCTTATTGTAGTTAAATGTTTAATTTGGATATAAATTAGATTAGTCGAGTCATTCATTTTGTGAGTATATTGAGTTAAATATATTTTTAAATTAAAATTGAAGTATAATTTCTTTTTATTTTAGTTAAATCAAATCAAATTATTTTTATGTATCGCTTAAATATACATGTATTTTCATAATATTTATTTACTCTTTATTTTAGTTAAGTCAAATCAAATTATATTTTCATAATATTTATCAAATTATATGTTGATTTCTAAACAATATTAGAAAATAAACTGTAACTGATAAATTTTTGGATGTTCATTAACATATATATTTTTATTATTTTGAAAATATATTTTATGTTATTTAAAATATATATTAGTGGGGTAGTACTATTTTGTGAACTTTCCTTTTTAATAAAGTCATATTATATAAATAAATTTTCGTTTTTAAGTTTGTTTTAAAATTTTAGAAATATTCCTTTTTATTATATATGTTATTTGTAAAAATGTAAAAAAAGAANTAATAAAGTCATATTATATAAATAAATTTTCGTTTTTAAGTTTGTTTTAAAATTTTAGAAATATTCCTTTTTATTATATATGTTATTTGTAAAAATGTAAAAAAAGAAATTACGAAAAAAAAATTAATAATAATCTTAAAATCTAACAATTCATTAAGGGTATCTATGTAATCAACCATCGCGAGAATTAACGTGAGCGGGACACGTAGGAAACTGACTTCTCAAATAATATTATAGAGATTCAGTTGAGTCAGATCCTTAAAATAAAATATTTAAGAATTTGTTTTTTTGTCAACATAAGAAAATTGTTTTAAAAAATTATTTTATATAGTGAGTTTATTTTAATAGAGTATATATTTTTATATTTTTTTTTTTAAATTTAGTAGATGAACTTTTTCTATACCCTTAATAACAGTTCTACCGAAACCAAGTTTTGTTGTTTATGTGACGTAGTTTGTTTATCTACTCTGAAACGTGGGCCAATGGCCGTCGATGCGATAGTTGAAGCCACTAATTTTTCTTTATCTTGAAAGTAATATTAAAAAAAAAAAGATAGAAACAAACAAACAAACAAACCGAGAATTATGAGAGAGAGAATGACAGATAGATGAAGCAGATGAGGTTAGGAGAGAGAGCTTCATGATTTTTCTCTTTCCCTAGACGAATCTTCCCACATCTGTCTGAAACTTTTTTTTTTTTTTTAATTAAATTTTTTTCTCTTCTACCTACTCCCTCCGATCATCATCGTAAGACTTTCTTTCTCGGCTCTGTGTTGAGTCTCTTTTTTCTGGGTTCCTAATTCAGAATTGTTTGCTTAATCTTTGAATTTCGATCTTGAAATTATTCTTACGCTTCAGAATTATTTTCTCTGTTGTTTTACTTTTCTTTTTTAGCATAGAACCATTATTGGTATGTTTGTTTTAAGCGCAAACGTGTCTGCTCATCTTTCTTGTTGAATACCCACTCCGTTTATTTCCTCCGAGTTGGTACTTAACTATAACTAGGACTTTTTCTTTTTTAGTATGAATGTTGAGATAACTAGAATCTGATCTATCTGATAATTCAGTTAGTGAATTACTCTTCTCATTTATATATATACTCATCATATTAGCTTTTTTTGGGTATCATCAGTTTGTTGTTGGATTCAATAAGAAAAATATATGATATCACTTTCTAGAGACTAGACATGTAACTTAAATGGTTTGTGCTAATTCTCTGGTGTTCCAGCTTCATTTAACAAGATGTTAAATACCATTTCGTTCTGCAAACAGTTGCCATTACCATTACCATTGACTTAATGGTTACTTTTATTTTTCCTAATTTCTGACCTTTTTTATTACTTTCAGTCTTAGGTAGCACGCTAATGGAGGAGTTAAGACCTGCTGAAGTTGAAAACCGTTCAGAACCAGCTGCTAGAGCATCTGAGGCTACAGTAAGCGCAGATGTTGTCAGTGATAATGCTACAGCGAGTCAAACAGATGTCTCAACTGGCAATACCACAAGTCATGTCGATGACACGTCTCAGCCATCCACTTTCTCTAGCCCCGAGGAACCTTCGGCAGAAAAAGTAACTCCTAATCCAACAATCATTGGAAAAGTGTCGGAGACAAATGATATTACAGGTGAGATTGGTTTACCTCCTGTAAAGATTACAGAAGGCACATCAAGAAATGGTGGATCACCTAAAACACCCGTGAGCACTGGATCAATCGACACAGCTGCACCATTTGAATCCGTTAAAGAAGCAGTCTCAAAGTTCGGAGGAATCACTGACTGGAAATCTCACCGAATCCAAACAGTAGAGAGACGCAAACTCATAGAAGAAGAGCTCAAGAAGATACAAGAGGAGATCCCCGAGTACAGAACACACTCAGAAACCGCCGAGGCTGCGAAGCTGCAAGTCCTCAAGGAGCTAGAAGCCACAAAGAGACTCATAGAACAGCTGAAGCTTAATCTTGAGAAAGCTCAAACAGAAGAACAACAGGCCAAGCAGGACTCTGAGCTTGCTAAGCTGAGAGTTGAGGAGATGGAGCAAGGAATATCCGATGACGTTAGCGTCGCAGCTAAAGCGCAGCTTGAGGTGGCTAAGGCGAGGCATACATCAGCGATCACAGAACTGCGTTCTGTCAAGGCGGAGCTAGAGACTCTGCATAAGGAGTATGATGATCTGGTGAAAGATAGAGACGTTGCGGTCAAGAAAGTTGAGGAAGCGACGTTGGCTTCGAAAGAAGTTGAGAAGAGAGTTGAAGAACTCACTATAGAGCTGATAGCTACAAAGGAGTCATTGGAATCAGCACATGCTTCTCATTTGGAGGCTGAAGAGCAGAGGATTGGAGCAGCCATGGCTAGAGACCAGGATGCACACCGTTGGGAGAAGGAACTGAAGCAAGCGGAGGAGGAAGTTCAGAAGCTTAACCAGCAGATTCTTTCTTCCAAAGATCTCAAATCAAAGCTTGACACTGCCTCAGCGTTGCTTCTTGATTTAAAAGCGGAGCTCGTAGCTTATATGGAGTCTAAGCTAAACCAGGAAGCTTGTGATGACGACTCCTCGTCGATCAAAAACAACGATCTTCCATCGGATTTACACGCAGGTTCGCAGAAGGAACTAGAAGATGTGAATGCGAGTGTTGAGAAAGCGGAAGCTGAAGTGAACTGCTTGAAAGTAGCCACCTCTTCCTTGCAGATGGAACTCGAGAAAGAAAAATCAGCTCTGGCCTCGATCAAACAAAGAGAAGGAATGGCCTCCGTAGCAGTTGCTTCACTAGAAGCCGAGATCGAGAGAACAAGGTCGGAGATAGCTTCAGTTCAGGCCAAGGAGAAAGCATCGAGAGACAAAATGGTGGAGCTACCAAAGCAGCTTCAGCAAGCAGCAGAAGAGGCTGATGAAGCAAAGTTTCTCTCCGAACGTGCTCGCGAGGAGCTACGAAAGGCCAAAGAGGAAGCGGAGCAAGCAAAGGCTGGAGCAAGCACAATGGAGAGCAGGCTGTTTGCTGCGCAGAAAGAAATCGAGGCAGCTAAGGCTTCAGAGAGGTTGGCCTTAGCTGCCATCAAGGCCTTGGAGGAGAGTGAGGCTAATGACATGGACTCTTTACGAAGTGTTACACTCTCACTAGAAGAGTACTATGAGCTCAGCAAACGCGCTCACGAGTCGGAAGAAGTGGCGAACGAAAGAGTAGCAGCAGCGGTTTCTCGGATCGAGGAAGCTAAAGAAGCTGAAATGAGAAGCTTGGAGAGGCTGGAGGAAGTGAACAGAGACATGAATGCGAGAAAGAAATCACTGAAAGAAGCAACGGAAAAGGCGGAGAAGGCGAAAGAGGGGAAGCTGGGGGTGGAACAGGAGCTGAGGAAGTGGAGGGCAGAGCATGAACAGAAGAGGAAAGTTGGTGATGGAGAGAAAATCATAAGAGCAAGCTCTGAAGGAGCAAATGAGTTAAGTAAGTTGGCCCAATCACCTGAGGCTTATGCCTACAGCCCGAGTGAGTCATATGGAACAGAAGATAACTCTGAAACCAGTCAAGTCCCACCGAGCAAGTCTGGAAAGAAGAAGAAGAAACTTTCCTTCCCACGGTTTTTTATGTTTTTGTCAAAGAAGAAGGCACATAATTGAGTTCATTACTTGTTCAAACACACATTATTAATAATGTTTCTGCCACGATCTCCATTTCAAATTTGTGTGTTTTGTAAATTGTGAATTTTATTTGTTTTGTTAGTCGGTTTCCTTTTCAGATTTCAATATATTACTTTCTACCAATAGAAAATGTGGCACTCCATATAAGAATTTTATTATCATCGTTTGACTTTTCATAACACTTGCTAATTACTATCTTGTTTTTTTTATAACATTTAGTATCTTGCAGATATCATCTTCTTACTTTCTTTAGTAATGTGTTATAAAAGGAAGACATTGAGAAGCGAAAATGTGAATGAACTTGATCACTTTCACACCTTTGGTTCCATCGTTTTCGCATAGATCAGATTTGTGTTCATGATGCAACAACGAGCGTCTTCTTTGGAGCTCGCCAAAACCGATTAAGCAACCAAACAGAATCTGCTTCCACGGAATACCCATCTTGGTTCCGGTTCCAGCTAAAGTAGGCATGAGTTCTGTTTTTGATATCAAACAACCCGTGCCCAAAGCTAGCTTCTCTGAAGGCAGAGTAGCTTGGCTGTGGCTGCATCATGCTACAAAGAAGAAACCAAGTCATCAAAAAAAATTCTAAGAAAAGACTTTTGTACAGCTAAATGGTAAACTAATTACTCAGTAAGCAAGCCTTCTGAGTTTCCTCCGTCCCCGATTGTTATGTACACAGGAGCCGATTCATCTGATATTGGCTCACACAATCCATTCACAATGTTGTAGGCAATGTTGGAAACACGTTCCTGCGTTAGTAGTACTTGATGATCACTTAAAGGCAGAAAGGTAGATTATAAAGAATACTAATTGGGGAAGAATGAATTTTGAAAAATTTACCGATCTCTCATAGGCATGAACATGGCCTGCAAACACCACATCAACCTTGTACTTGACGAACCACTGCTCGTACATCACCCTCATTGTTTCACCTTCCATGTAATGATGCACATAGCTATGGTAAAAGGGGCAATGTACTAAGACTATAAGCCATGGAGTCTCTTTTCGGTTTACTTTTTGGAACTCCTTCTCTAGCCATTTGTACTGTGGAGTGTATATCCCTAATTAAATGATCAAGATTAAAAATTATTAAAAGAAGCCACCAATATAGTTATTTTTTCTTAAATGCATTTCATTACCATAAGATGAGTAACAAGACATAACAATAATATAAGCTGAAGCCCTCTTGATGGAATACCACAACGGAGAGATACTTCCCGATGCCTTATACGGTGTATGATACCGATTCATATAAGGCTTGAATGGTTCTATTTCACCCTACAAAAGAAGAAAAAAAACTCTTTCAAGTTCCATTTTCAAGAAACCAAAAGGGTATTCTATTAATTCAAGTCTTGCTTACAATGTCAGGAACAAAGTCGATTTCGTGGTTTCCTGCAGTCCATATCCAAGGTTGATAAGCAGTACTTCTCTCAACGAATCTTCCCCAAGTATCCCATCTGTTGTTGTCGTGCAAAGGGTAACGATCTGCATAAGACAAGTCTCCTAGGAACAAAACCGCCTGTCCTTTTCCTGGATTCATCTCATAATGGCTTAATGTTCGGTTAGAATCATAAGTTTGTCCCATGTCCCCTGGATTGTACCACACATTAGAAAGAAATTAAATTATCTACTGGTCTCTATGTCACAAAAAAATATATGAATCTAAAGACAGAGAAGTTGATACCAATTAAGCCGAAGGTGTACGGTACGTCAGGGCCAGGTTTAGGCGGAGTAAAGAACCAGAATCGCCTATGCCACTTCCCACTCCCAATTTCATAGTAGTATTTCTTATCAAACTGCAACACTCATATATAAAATCAATAATGATGTTATATTTTTTATAAATAGAGAAAATCAAACATAAAATACGGTTATAGTAACCAACGACCTTAACTATATTTATTCAATTATTCTTTGAATGTTTTTCTAGCCACTTAAAAAAGGACCTGTAACTAAATTACAACGAATAAGTTGTTGAAAAGACTTACTTCCAAATCATCAATGAAACAGTGGTGGATGTAACCAGATGTATAATTGAAGAAACGGTAGGAGTTTACGGTTGCTTCTGCTTGCTTCTTGGATTTTTCATTCTCAGACCAATAGCGAACTGTGTTAGAACCGGGCGTAGAAGGAGTCACCCATGAAATGATCACTCCGTTGCCATCATGGTTACCTTGGGTTATATGAACCTGTTGGGGAGTATTAGGACCAGGAGGAACTGCAAAGACATCGCTGTCTAGTGGCATGTCGTCAGGTAAATCATTTCCTCTAACATATCCACTGGTAATCCCTCCATCACATAACTCAACAAGAACTCCAAGCAAGAAGATTATGAAGCAAACTCGCATGATTGTGAGGTCAGATCTTGAACTCATCTTCTATCTTTCTTTCTTTTTCTTTCTTCTGGATCCGAGACCAAGAACGTGCTATGGATTTTCCCGTCTGGGAATTAAATGACTTGTCTAGAAGTGACAGACATTGATTCTTTAATTATCAAAAAGAGGATCCAAAAGGGATATTCGACTTATTTTATCGAGTTTTATTTTATTTATATCTATCTACTTTTTCCGAAAACTTGTCAGAAAAATATAAAACTGATGTAGCACGTACACGCTTCACAATGTTGAAATATTGGATTTAGCCCGTTCGGGTGTACATCTCGGATGTCTATCCGAGTGTTGTTCTTTTCTCTGAATGTAACTATGTTTGTTAGATTTTATTTTTTTGAATTTGCATCTGCATTTAGACATACTTTTACTAAAAATATATATTTTGATACAAAAATATTTAAAAATATATAATATTCATTCTTTTTCAAATTAGATCACGTTTTAAGAGATTTATTTTGTTTCAAAATATAAGACGTTTTAAGATTTTAAAATATATTTTGAGGTTTTAAGGTGGCCTTTATCCCTATTGAAAATTATTTAACCAATAAAATTTTACTGTCTTTTCAATAATTGATTGAATGATTTTAAAATTATATTTTTAAAAATAATTTTGTAAAAGAAATTAAATATTTTAATCTTTTTGCAATATTCTAAAACATAATTATTAAAAAAATGGAGGGAGGGAGTAAAATTTATCAATAAATAAATATAATTTGATTTTGTATACTATCCAATTTTATAATAATATTTATGTGACTTATAATATTATTAATTTATGTGGCTTCTAATATTATTAATTTAAAATTTATAAATTTTTATTTTTGTAACAATTTTTAAAAACATTGTTATGTAACATTACTAATTTATATTTTTGCATTTCTAAATTTGGAATATATGTAAAAGATAAATTAAGTTGGTCCTACATAAATACATAAAATAAATTTTGGAATATTCTTAAAATTATTTTACATTATAATTATTTTTATAAATGAAAAAATGAGTTACAATTTTAATTATATTTTATGATAATTAAAATTTTAATCAAATAATTTTTGAAATTATATATTGAAAATATTCTAAATGATTTTGTTAGAAGCTTCTTAAAACTATTTATTTGTATTTCATATAAAAATTAAAGATATGAAAATATATTATAATGTTGTTATGTGAAATTTTATAAAATTTCTAAGGATGGTCCAAACTAAAAAAATCACGCAAGAAGTGAGTCATGACTTCTCTTTTAATATAATAAAGTGAGTCATGACTTCTCTTTTAATATAATAGATGTGATTTATGGTTTTAGTATAAAAATGTTTGTTTATAATTTTGGTGAAAATGCAGTTTTACAATTTTAACAGAAAAGTATGTTTTATATTCTGTAGTTGTGGCCAAAAATGCGTTTTATATTCTGTAGTACATTTTTACCGTTGTAGTGGAGAAGAACCTTTTTCAATTTAGGCAAGAATGTCTATTTTAGTGGAAAATGTGTTTTACGGTTTTAATAGAAAAGTGTGTTTTTGTAGTTTTAATGGAAAAGGGCTTTTTACAAGTTTGGCGGAAAAAAGCGTTTTATGGTTTTGGCGAGAAATTGTTTTTCTTTTTACATTTTTTGGCCAAAAATATTTTTTTATGGTTTTAGCAAAAATGTTTTTACAGTTTCGATAGGAAATTGTATTTTAGCGAGAAAGTGTGTTTTTACAGTTTTAGCGAGAGTGTATTTCTACGGTTTTAGTGAAAATTTACATTTTTGCGGGAAAATGCGTTACAGCGGTTTTGGCAGAAAAATGATTTTAGCAGAAAAGTATGTTTTTGCAGTTTTACAGAAAAATAAGTGTGTTCGGATGGTTTTGGTTAAAATGCATTTTTATGGTTTTAGGAGAAAAAAGTGTATATTCACGATTTTGGGGAAATTTTTCATTGTTATGATTTTAGTAAAAAAAGCATTTATAGGTTTTGACGAAAAGTATAATTTTATAAAAATATGATCTTTTTTGCTTGAAAATAATATGTGATTTCATACTATTAAATTTACAAAGATCATTTTTTACATTTAATTGTTATTTTGTTATTTATTTTTATACTAATCTAGACGTATCGAGAAGTCCCATGAAAATTTCTTCTTTTTTTTTAATGCTGGATAATTATGCTATTACAAACTATATGAGAAATATTACAAACGATTTTACAGCCGACCATTCTACCTACCTTATGAGGATTCACGCATGACTACATCACTTGAGCCGCCCTATCGAATCCACCCTAGACGGTACTCCTTACGACATATTGCAGATCTCTTGTAAGCTTTTTTTCTCTTTTAATTCGCATAATTTCACTTTTCCTGGGATTCGAAACTCAGACCTCCTGATGTAGAAGCATTAATAAACCCTTAATCAAACCACTGGACCAAAGGGGCTTCCACATCCCATGAAAAATTCTTCTCAATTGAATAAAAATTGATATGAATTTTATAAATGCAATTAGATTTCATCTGGATATTATATTTAGTGCACTAAATGAACATTGATTTCCATTTTCATTGAGAAAGATCATCTGGATTAGCAGGACATCCAGATAAATCATTATCACGCATTTCTTTTTGGTATGGTCGTCAAATTCGAAGTTCCCACCGATTCTGAGAATCAGAAGACAAATCTGTTATTTCATACATTCATGTTTGCGTAGCTTATTTGAATGACATATTTCAAATTTAAGATGTTTTTTCTTTTCCAAACCTATTGTACCGTTAGACCATGTATGTGTATAGCTTGTTATCACGAATAAGCACATGAGAATCAATCATTCTAGTTATCAGAGTCAGTCCTAGGTTAAGTAAAACTAAAAGTTAAAAAAAAAAACGCTTTTCAAATAAATAAAGGAAAAAAAAACTGAACTTTGAACTGGAATAGTCACAAATTACATGCATAACAAATCTATTTCTTTCAAAACACACCACTAAACTAAGAAATTGCTTTGTCCATTTGTAGCCAGGTTTCATTTATAAATACACGGGCCGGAAATAGATGCTTCTATCGCTTAACCCAAAAACCGGCTCTGTTAATTATTATACATTTTGTTTCTAAATATTTTACTATTAATTTAGAAGACTTTATCTAAAACACATATCTAACAGAAACCAATATATACTGAACTAGCAAATAAATCTGATAGAAAATATTTTTTGGCGTGGATCATCAAACAACTCCATTTCAAAATTCTCAGCAAAGGTAACTTCGAATATCTTGAGAGATCGTAGTCCTGTGATTGTTTAGAGTATAACATTGAATTGTGACATTCTTAAATTTATGAGAAATTCAACATGAGAATCCAAAGCTACTTATCCTTCATTAAAGGTGTTCTTAGAGCATTTAGCATTGGTAATCTCTCAAAGATATCTCTCGTAACTAAAAACATATAACATAATTGAAAAATAAAAAGAACAAAAAAAATAATGAATCTATTTCTAAAGAAATTTTCTCTAATTACATCTATTATATTAAAAGAGAAGTCATAACTCACTTGATGTGTGATATTTTAGTTTAGACCATCTTTAGAGTTTTATAAAATTTTACATAACATTATAATATCTTTTCATATCTTTAATTTTTGTTTGAAATACAAATAAATAGTTTTAAGAAAATTCTAAGAAAATCTTTTAAAAATATTTTAGAATATTTTTCAAGATATAGTTTCAAAAATTATTTGATTAAAATTTTAACTATCATAAAATATAATTATTATAAAATATAACTAAAATTTTAATTCATTTTTAATTATAAACAAAAAAGTAAAATTATGTAAAATACTTTTAACAATATCCCAAAAAAAATTTTATGTATTATGTAGGTCCAACTTAATTAATTTTTACATAGATTTCAAATTTAGAAAGAAAACAAAATATATAAATTAGTAATCTTACATAATAATGTTTTAAAAATTATTTCAAAAATACAAATTTATAAATTTTATATTAATAATATTATAAGTTACATAAAAATGATTATAAAATTGGATAGCATAAAGAATCAAATTATACTTATTTATTGATAAATTTTATCATATAATTTCAAATATTTTCGTATTAAAATCCCCGCACTGTTGTGCGGGTCGTAATCTAGTTTAGATTAATTCTACACTTGTTTAAAATCTATTGGTCTACATACTTTATGATATTAAAAACAAATATAAAACATTTTTTTTATAATTTAGAGAAACTTACATGAGTTTCTTCCACTAATGATGTCTTTAGAACATAATTAATAACAATTTTTTAAAGGTGGAGTTCTTAGCGGAATTAAGAAACTGTCTCTTAAGTTTTAATTAAAAAAGTTAAGAACCAATGTTTAAATGTTTATTTAAAAGCTGTACATTTAAAATTGGTTCTTAACATTTTTAATTAAAAGTTAGGATATACTTTCTTAGTTTCGTTAAGTACCCCTTAAAAATTCTCCATTAATCATGTTCTTAATGTAGTTATGGTATGGTTTAAGCATCATATTAAGTTATTAACCGTTGTGCCTTTGTGCTTTGGATAGCTTTCTTAAGGCGACAGGTTATCATCTTGGGAATGGCAATCCCAACTTCATGTGTCCTCTTTCCTTGTGGCCTTGTGGGGATGAATCTCATGTTCATCTTTTTTCCAGTGTGCATACACGGCTCTTATTTGGCTTTATTCAATATTAGTCAATATACATTATAATTTTATAAATATTTATGTTGTTTTGGAAAAAGACATAAAGGAAAATAAATTTGTATTGTTATATATATTAGTATACATTATAATTTTATAAATGTTTCCTTTTTATGTTTTTGGATACATATAAAGGAAAATAAATTTTTATTGTTTTTTATAAAATTGTATACTTCATATTATATATATATATATCCTTCCTTTTTATTTACTATTTATGTGAATTATAAAATCCTAATTATTTTTATTAATTAAAAAGGAAATAAAGTAACTTTAGTAATGGAAATTAGAAAGAAAAATTAAATCATGAGAGATAATATAGTAACTGACTACGGTAAGAGTTAACATAAGGGTGACATGTATAAAAGTGGCTTCTCAAATAGTATTATAGAGATTCTAAAATTATGTTTTAAAAAATCTATGTTTATTAAATTTTATTCTGTTTGTAAACCATGCACCATAAAAATTTAAATCCATTGTTATTCAGTTAACATTTCAAATATTATGCTTGTGTTAATGCATAGTTGTAAATCATCCTCATAAATTTTGAGTTCTGAAAATCTGGTATTATTTATTTAAGATTTTAAGTATTTCAATAAAATACAAAATATACTGTATGTATTAATTAAAAATGAAATGAAATGAATTTTTTAACTTTATAGGTTATGAAATTCATAGAATAAAATATAAAAGTAATTATTGGATAACACTTCTTCAACAAAATATAAAGCTAACCTTTTTGTTATGAAACATAAATGAAATTTGACATTCTTCTCATAATCAACCAGCTCGTAGAAAAAGAATAGAGGTTTGATTGATTGTTTTCTCTTAAGTGTAAGTTTTTTCTGTTTTTTTTTTCATGGCTTCTTCAAACCCTTCCTGGCCGATGCTGCCTTTGGAATTGGTAGAAAGTATATTTTACAAGGTTCCGGTGGCATCTTTGGTACGATTCAAGTCCACATGCAAACAATGGTATGCTCTTTTAAATGACAAGAAATTCATCTACAAGTACTTGGAACTCTCCCGGGAAGGACTCATCCGAGTCAGTGATCATAACCTGTTACAGTTCGTCAATCTTGAGACCCTAGCCCTTTCCAGTATACAAGGTCCATCTGATATTTATACAGTAATTCACTGCGATGGATTATTGCTATGTGTATTTATTATTAAGGGTATAACAACGCTTGCAGTTTGGAATCCGTTTTTGAGCCAAATCAAATGGATCAAACCCTCAAGTTCTTACACAGGGTTTGATATCTACGGTTTTGGATACGACAATGTATCCCGTGACAACTACAAGATCTTGAGGTTTAAAAGAGAAAAAGGATATGAAGAGGTTGAGATATACGAGTTCAAGTCTCAACTCTGGAGAAGTGTTGATTATTCATGGGCATATTCTTGGCATCCATCGTATAACGAAGCTAGGGCTATGAATGGAAACATGTATTGGATTGCTGAAATGGTGGATGATAACTCCGTTGATTCTCCTTTTGACACCAGAACTTTCTTCATCCAATGTTTTGATTTCTCCAAAGAGGTATTCAAAGAAACATGTGGTTTACCCTTTGTAAAACGTGATGCTTGGCTTTTGCCACGCCTATCAGGTTTCGGAGGAGATAGACTTTCTTTGTTAGCTCAACATAAAAATGGGAAGATTCAGGTTTGGGTAACAAACAATCTGAGTGATGAGGTTGTCTCGTGGAGCATGTATTTTGATGTTACTCCTGATAATTTCAGAATATTAACCGGCTCTCCAACATACTTGGTCCACAAGACCAATAGGATCATGTTATGGTGCGAGGAAGAAGATGTCGAAAATATAAATATTTACGTCAATGTTTACGAAATAGGTGAGGGTTTTGTCGAGAAACAAGTTGAGACAGGACGACGTAGAAGGTGTGATAAGGTTTACAAACATAGCCGTTGCTTTGTATTTGTTCCAAGTCTGGTTCCGGTTCCAAAATAAGAGGAGGAAGGTACACTTAAAAAGAGATTTGCGAGAGGGCTGCTATTACTAGATTTCATGCATGTTTTAATTAACTTGTTATTATGTTCTTCTAATCTATCAGATGCACTATGCATTTCATTTGGTTTTACTTTCATTGAATACTAAACCTTAAAATAAGAGGAAGGTACACTATGTTCTTTGTCCATTTCATCTTAGCCATAATATCTTTTGTAACCACAATAACGAACTAATTAACAAGAGTTTTGAATGAGACACAAAATCCAATATGCATGCACCCATCTCTCCACCACATCGAACTCACCATGAATAAGAGACTTACCTTGTAGTTCTTGGCTCTAGCTCTCCCTAGTTTCACAAACGGCTTAGAGAGAGCTACCAGAAATCGCATTTGAGTCTAGGTTTGATTGAGATCCATCAGGAGCGGATAATACTTAGGTATGCCCTGTACTTTGGTTGATTTAGAGCATCCGCAACGGTGATAGGAGTCCTTAAGAAAAAGAGTATTTCGGATTTGGTAAGGATATTGCAAATTTCTTTTATATAAAAAAATGACCATTCGCGGAATGCCAAATGTCTTAGAGACCCGGAAATAGTGTAAGGATTCGATAAAAAACAATCATTTTAGAAGTTTTAATGATCGAATCCTTAAATTTTTTTATGAAATCTACCGATTATTTAATTATTTTTTTCCTTAAGCAACTAATAAGTTTAAAATACATGAAAACAAAAAGAAAGGACATTTTAAAAAAAAAAATCAAAAAAGAAAACACAGGCAAGGGCATCTGATATGATTTCTCCTTGATTTCGTAGTTGGATCTATTCTCACTATACTAATCTTCGATCAGTTAATTCTTTGGTAGTTTCTTTGTTTTTCTTTCAAATGGTTGGAACAATGGAAGAGTTCAGTTTTGTCTCCGTAGATTCAACAAGGGCGAAGAAAAGAAAACCCGAATCTCAAGTTGTCTCTATTCTGAATCATCTGTTTGTAAATACTCAATACTTTAAAAGCGTCGATACTGGTCGAGAATATACGAATTCAGACACAAGTAGCTTAAATTTTGCAAAAGTTGGAAATTTTACTTCAAGATCTCCTTTGATCAAATCTGGTCCAAGAGTTGGATTAGACATTGGTCATCTTCTCAAATCAGCATTAGCAGGAGGAATCTCATGCGCTTTCTCTGCCTTCCTAATGCATCCTGTCGACACTGTCAAGGTATTATAATTAATTATAATCTTTTAGACTTACTTCGATTGTTCTCTGATACTGTTTAAATTGGTTGGTGTTGAATGAATGAGATTAGACACAAGTTCAAGCGTCAACAACACTTTCATTTATCGAAATAATGTCAAAGATTCCAGAGATTGGTGCTCGTGGTTTATACAAGGGATCTATTCCCGCTGTTGTTGGTCAATTCGCAAGGTTTTACACATCTCCTTTATTCACATCACAGCGTCCGTTTTTTTTGCTTAATGTTTATCATCGTTACAGCCATGGTTTACGAACAAGTATATATGAAGCAAGTAGACTCGCTTTACCGTTCCTTGCTCCTGGTCTCCACGACATCCAAGTTATTATTCTTTTTTTTTTTAAAAAAAATCTTATTTTCTTTAAAAAAAAGATTTAAGTACATCCCAGTTTCATCATTTGATTTGTTGATTGTGTGTGTAGGTTCAGCCAATCGCGTCGTTTCTTGGCACGGTTTTGGGGACAACACTACGGATACCGTGTGAGGTGCTGAAACAGCGGTTACAAGCCAATCAGTTTGATAACATTTTGGAAGCTACAGTTTCTACTTGGGGACAAGATGGTCTTAAAGGTCTCTTTCGTGGCACTGGTGTCACTCTTCTACGCGAGGTTCCCTTTTACGTTGCTGGTATGGGTCTTTACAGCCAATCAAAGAAGGTAATAATCTCTCTTTTCTTTTCTTTTTGGTAATTAATAAAGAGAACTAAAACATTGAGTTGCAAAAAGCTGGTGGAGAGACGAGTAGGGAGAGTGCTTGAGCCGTGGGAGGCTATTGCTGTTGGAGCCTTGTCTGGTGGTTTCACTGCTGTTATGACAACTCCTTTTGATGTGATTAAAACTAGAATGATGACGGCTCCTCAAGGCGTTGATTTGTCTATGTGGATGGCTGCTTATTCTATTTTGACGCATGAGGGCTTTCTTGCTTTCTACAAAGGAGCTGTTCCCAGGTTCTTCTGGACTGCTCCTCTTGGAGCTTTGAACTTAGCTGGCTACGAGCTTCTTCAAAAGGCTTTCGTCACAGTACCTCTTGATCAATCTGTGCATAGCGATTGACATTCATTTTTAGTATACCACTACCAACGCATTTGTATTCACTCTTGAAAACAGCTCTGTCTTTCTTTTCTTGTGAATTATTTAGAGATCTAGATTTCCTTTGCCAAATACAGAGAAACAGTTTGTAAGATTAAGCCTAGGACCATGATATGGTGATTATTATCACTAACCAAGAGGAAAAATGTTTGATGAGAAGATTCATATACTCACATTCTCAGGTTTTAGTATATGCAAATGTTATAATTGCCTAGCCAGCTCTGGCTAATATTACATGATTATATTGAAGATTTGGATACCATTGGTGTAAGATTAAGAACTGTTTCTAGGTAGTAAAAGTCTGTTTCAACACCTTACTCACAGTATGTACTAGAGCTGCTAGCTATATGTCAGAGGAGTCTGAATCATCTTCTTCCAATGTTCTTTTGACCCACCAAGATAAATACACAAATCACAATGTAAAAAACTTTAACATCCCTAGGAAATAGTAATACCTTAGACATCTTGAGAGGTGGTTTTGGTATATCCAGCCTCTGAAGCTTATTGTGCAACCTGAAGAGAGTTTAAACAATGTATTATCATCAAACAAGACCAAAACCAAGATGTGTCTTAAAGTTTTCTTATTATCTTACTGCACGAATGTTAAACACGTAAGAAACTAGCAGGAACAGACCATCAGACATGCCTCGAATTCAGGTTTCTCCACATTCAAAATTTTCTCTCCAACATACAAAGATTATACATATAATATGCTTCAAGGGGATCCATCAAGTTTTCTTTTCCTGTTAAAACTGTTTCGTTTTTGTTTCACAACAAAAAAAACCAACTTTTTTTTTCTCGTTTAAAAAAAAATTAAAATAAAATAATGTCCTTGTCAGTCACCAAAGAACCCTGAAATGAAAAGTTCCCCCAGCGACCATCGTTTGTTATTATTCGTCGCCGTTATTGTTCTTAAGCCGAAGAAAGCATATTCCTTCTTTCTCGTCAAGAGATCCCAAACACAACCCAGAAAGAAAAACACAACAAAGCTTTCTCTCTTTTTTTTTTGTAACAAATCTACGTCGCGTGTCCTTTGCAAATTTGCAATATGAATCTATTTTGTAAACGATCACAAATTCGCCTCTTCTCTTGACTATTTTTTCGTTTGTCTGTTATTGGTTCTGCCTTTGATTCTTAAGGTAATACCACCTTTGTTTCATGACTCTTGGTTTATGAGATTTTCTCTTAACCTTTCTTTGATTTATGTTTTTTTTTTTTTTTTTTAATTTTCTTGCAGAACCGTTTAAGTTTGGTCTCATTCTTGTAATATCACAAATGGATTCAAATGATGGAAACGTATCTCAAATTTTACCAAAGAGGAGTCTTTTACCAAACGGATTGTTTCCGCAGTTACATGTTATAGTACCTGGAAGCTTCGCCTTGGAAGCAACATTTAGTTGCATCACCAAAGTTACAGAAGCTATGCTTTGTTGGTTCAACAACAATTTACAGCAAAAGGAGATTTCTAACTATCAATGGAGAAGCTTAAGCAGTGATGATGATTCTTCCAAGCGTTATTACCCTAACTTCTCTCTGTTTCATATTCACAATGGATCAAAAGATTTAATCCCTGCCTTGTTTGGAAACATCTCTAAATCAACTATTCAGCATTTTGTTAATGAAGCTGAGAGGCTACATTCTTGTTCTGTCCTCTCTTTGGCTGTTTCGTTGATGTAAGTTTTTTATTGGCTTTTGTGTAACTCTTCTTTAGGTGGTTGGTTGTGTTCTGATCTGTGGTGTTTATTTAGGTCGGTGAATGGAGTTGCTTTGTCCCTAGGGAGTAATGATGTTCAAGTTTTGAACAATATTGAGCATAATAGGTCTTCTTGTCAGGTTCGACGTGAAGAATGTAATGGTTTGAGTTTTCACAAATTGGACACGAAAAGACCAACTGTTGAGCCTCGAACCGGTATCGAATTCCCCGTCTTGTTAAACAAAAATGCAGCTTCTGAGGTTTCCTATAGCTTCTCTCCTTCTCAGTTTTCATTAAAAAAAAAGGAGATTTCAGTTTCTGAAAGCTTTTGGACTCTATCTTGATTGTTGTAAGGTGCTTCTTGCAACTGGATCACGGACAATGAAGATCATCAAAATTAAATCTCTAAAAGTCTATGCGTTTGGTTTTTGTAAGTGTGCATTCTAAGCTTTGTGTCTTTCTATACTTTTCATATTGTTATCTTTTGCTTCTAACTGAAACTTTCTCTGTTTTAGATGTTCATCCTTCGTCGGTCTGTCAGAAGCTTGGTCCAAAGTATGCCTCTATTCCCGGGAGCAAACTCGGCACATGTGATGACTTATACAAAGATCTTTTAAGGTGTTTTACATGTTTTGACTGATTTTATTATACACTTTTTATCTGGTTTGAAATTCAGTCTGTTTTTAGTTGGTGTAGCTTTTTAGTTTCTAGTTGGACATTTTTTTCATTTTTTCAGGGAGGATATAGTTATGAGTGTGAGGCTTGTTGTTAATTACAATGGCTTGAAGATCAATACTGTGAAAGAGTAAGTGGAAGTTTGCATATTTTTGGTCTTTATAATTGACTTTCAGTTTTATTTTAATCTTTTTACTAGTCATTTGATGATTTGAAGCATTACAAAAATAAGCTATTCTCTTGTTTGTCTATTTTTCAGTGCTTTTGAGAAATCTCTGCGTGCTCGTTTGGTGAAGGTAGACTCTGGAACACGCTTTGAAATTTGATTTATGCTTTTGCGCAAAATATTATAAGCATTTCCTTTTGTTTTTGTTTTTTGTTTTATTCAGGCAAATCCCAAGACTAATTTCCATTGCTTAAATGATTTTGGTTCATTCTTTACACAAGACATTCCAATCCCCGCGGTACCCTCCATACCTATACTCACATTTTACACATATATTTAAACACACCTGATTCATTTTAAGTGCTCATTTTCAGGGAACAGTAATAGACTTTCGACGCACAGCTGATGGACAACTAATCACAGAAAGTGAGTAATTATGAAATATCTGATTCCTGAGTTCTGTATACAAATCTAGCTTAATATATGGTAAAACATTTGCAGTTGGCGGTAACTTGGTTGGAGCCGTCCGTAGCAAGGATCTTTGTAGTTAGTATTCTTCTTTCTCTTTCTCTTCCATGTTTTGTTTTATGTGTACCAAAGGTCTGAGATTTGCGCCAACGTTGCAGGGGCATTTTTTGGTATGTACATTGGAGATGTTCCGGTGTCTGAGCAGACAAAAGAGGAGATTGGTAGGAACGTTGCGGGAATCTTAAAGAGTTGCTGAAAATTCAATTTAGACGACCAATGGCCTCTGAGTTTTAGAAGAAGGCACTTGGGTTCGTATATGAAAGACCGAATATAAGTACTTAGTAAGTTGCTTCCAACCCGGCCCCGCCCAACTTTATTTTGTAGAAACTCGGCTCTAAATTAACCCTGGCCAACCAGAAATCTGCTTGATCCCGGCAATGCCCTGTCCCTGCAGTGATAATATTATTCGACAAGCCTCTATACATGTCTATCTAGTGATAGTAGAAGAATCGGCTCTATGCATGGAATGTTTACACTATTAACACATTTTCCCAACTTCTTTTTACGGAAAACATTATTTATATTATACTTAAATAACATTAGAGAATGGTCCGCGTCCGGGTAGATATCGGTTCTGACGTTGTTATATTGAAATTTGTTTTTCATAATAAAAGTTATACTAGATTTTGACCCGCGCTTGAAAGCACGAAAATTTTTTATGATTAAAAATTTATATAATTGGATTTTATCTTAATTTAAAGAATGTTTTGTTATAAAATCAATTCACCAAAATTTGTGGTGATGTTGTTTTTCATTAGTTTTTAGTTTTAGTTTTTATTTTTATATTTTATTTTAGATTTTGTTTTTTGATTTTTAGTTTCTACTTTTGATTTTCAGCTTTTGGTTTGTGTTTTTAATTTTTATACCCGTTGAGTTAGTTTGAACTGATATTACCAACAAACAAATCCTAAATAATCGAACAACTAATTTAAAACTGAAAAGACGACAAAAAAATTTGCAATAGTTTATTTTGTAGATAAACAAAAGCAAAAAAAAATATAACTTGTGTTTTCATCTTTTGGGTTTTAGATTTGGTTTTTGGTTTTGCTTTACATTTTTTTTAAATCAGTAAATTATTTAAGAAAAATAAAACAATAAATCATTTAAAAGTTACCATTGGAATTTATCAAAATAAAGTGATTGTAATTTAAAATAAAAAATACATTAACATGTTTTAAATAAATGATTAATAGTAGACAATTTTTTTTGTTAAAAATATTAAATAAATTTTGGGCCTAAAAATAATAATTGATTTTTTGATCTATTAAGGTGGAAAGTTTATTCAATGTTTTTGGAGTTTTTCCTTAATACTAAGCCCAAAAACAAAAGTATATAATTTGTTTTAAAAACAAAAATAAGCCCAAGACTATATCCCATAAATAACCATCGGTTTAATTTAAGTAATGTGGTTTAATTAATTATATGGCTTGTGTTACATATTTGTAACACTCTAGAAAGGATCCAAATTTAAATGACAACTTGTATTAGTAGATAAAAAGAATGACTCTATTCTAATAGAATAGATATTTGAGATTCGTTATCAGATAATATGATTAATTTGGTATTACTATCTGAATCTATTTTAGATAAATTGTTTATTTGGATATTTTTAGATTCTTATATTTTAGAACCAAACTCATCTAGATCCATAAAGATCTAACGAGATTTAATATCAAAATAAATAAAAAATGATATCCAAAAAAACAACCCCTACCTGAATGGATATCCAATATTCATATCTAATTGATTCTGTAAACTAATAAAGAGAATTATTTTTCTATGTATTTTGCTAAAGTAAGTGAAATAGAAAGAGTTTTTTATTTAGTAAATAGTTATATGAAGTGAAAAATTAAGGGCAATAGATGTAATATATTCTTGTTATTTGGTTTAAGTTATTATTTTATTCACATAAACATATGTTTGAATTATGTGTTTGGCTACGTAAAATTAATATATAAAAAGTATTCGTGAAATATAGTCAATTGTAAAAATAACCTACACAGATTTCCACCGGTAGCAAACAGATTTTTTGTAAAAGTTGAGAAACTTCCGTGGAAGTCTTCTGACGGAAGACTTACCGGAAAGTCTTCTGTAAAATGTTAAATTTCTAACACAATTCGGTCAATTGCAAAACTAACTCGTTTATCGATGAAGAATTCTCTGGTCGACGCTTGTATTTTTGAAAATTTTAAATTTTAAAAGTAAGTCAATATTTACAAAGAAAAACTTACTTAGAAGACTTCTCTGGGCAAAAAATAAATGAGATTTATTATGTTTTAATTAATGTTTTTAAACCTGATTAGGACACCTATCCGGCAAATGTTTGGTTCACTGTGTTATAGGGTGGACCGTAGGCGAATCACGGATTAATATGTTAAGCAATTTTAATATATTATTATATATTAACTATTAAAATATAAGAGAAGTTTCACATTCTTAAAAATGGAAAAATATTTAAATCTAGTCTCTTTTTTATTTATTTTTTGTTCCACTTAAAATATATTTTAAATAAAATATATTTAAAATAATTTAAATTATTGAATATTTTTTGTAAAGATTTAAGAGTTAGAAAATATAATAAAACATAAGTTTAATCTCAAAATTTTTATATATATAATATAACTAATAAAGTTAATTTTTAACAAAATAGACTAAAATTAATCATAAGTTTGTAATAGATTTTCGTTAACAAAAATAAATTACTATCAAACCTTAATAAATAATTGATTTTCTCTATTATCGTTCACTATATTTTTTAGGATACATAAATAAATGAATATTAAAAAATCAAAATACCACAATAAAATAGTTTAATTAATATTATATAATATTTAACAAAATTGAATGGGATCAATAAATTTGATTCACAACAAAACGTTATTTATAAACATGTAAAATAAAAAACAAGATAACAGCATATGATTCACGAAAAAGAAATTATATTGATGTGGAAGCATGGAGAAAATGACTTCAAAACCCACTTTTCTGCAGCCAGGACATATGAACTAGTGCGATCCAAACAGAATAAGGTGGAATGGAGCAAGGTAGTTTGGTTTCCTCAAGAAGTCCTTAGATATGCCTTCATTACTTGGCTAGCTATTAAGAACAGATTGGTTACAGGAGATAGGATGAGACAATGGGGAATGACACAGAGCTGTGTGCTATGTGAAAAGAGAGATGAAACGAGAGATCATCTATACTTTGCTTGTCCCTACACCTATACAGTCGGGGAGAGATTGGCTAGGAAACTTGTAGGCAGGGGATAAATCCGGATTGGCAGTGGACGATGCAGCGATCGCAAAGCATGGGAGTACAAGGAATGGATTCATGTCTGGCCAGACTCTTGTTCCAAACTACAATCTATTATATATGGAGAGAGAGGAATGCTAGAAGACACCAAAAGCTAGGAACCACCATCGAAAATATGACAGGATTAATCAACAAAGCAATGAAGAACATGATTTCCTCACTCAGATACATGCCAAGTCATAAGTTGTAAGGGTTACTGAGGAGATGGTTTGAAGTTGCAATATAGTAGTAGGGATTACATGTTCATGGCAATTTTTTAGTTTTTAAAGGGTCAGATTTGTGCATAACATTCATTCGATAGTTCAATAAATTTAAAATTTCATCCAAAAAAAATTATATTATATAATTTCAAACATAGAAATGAAAACAAATGTTTTTTCTGGGTTTTAGGGGTTTTTATCGGATTTTTAGTTATCACAGATTTCTTAAAATCCAAGCCATATTATTTAGTGGGTTACCGGATTTGCTAGTCTGACCACAGATCCGGGTCTGGCGTAAGAATACTGGTTTCAATTATTACTGTTTATTAATTTTATTGTATTAAATACATGAACTGAAAAATACAACAATTTAATAGAAAAAAATATAATTATCACTTTATTTTAAATGTGAATCCCAAAATACATTTTAGTCATTTATGCACCATGATAACCCCCACCCTTTACATATTTTTTATTATAGTTTCTATAATCACAGTAACAAGCGTAGTTTCGACAATTTTTCATATTCCTCTTCTTTCTAAAACAGTGATGTGCACACTCTTGACAAAACATCATTGGAATACCGGCAGCTTGAGTCTTAAAATTTTCGTCATCAAGCATTTCATTTTTTATTTGGAGATCAAGTTGAGGGCTTGTTGCTGGAGGTGAAATATAATCAGAAAAGGCTTTTGCAAAAATATTTGAGTTACCTACAAAGTTTGCAATCATATACAACGTTATTACATATTCATTTAAAATAATAAAGACTATAAAATGTATCATATTATATTTATCACTGAAAATAAACTTACATGATAGAAAAGTTACTAGAATAGTTGCAAAAAGAACACTAGATTTCATCTTTTTGGAAATTTGGTAGTATTTAAGAATTGGCGATTTTAAATTCTATTTATTTTGATATGTTGTAATGATGTTTAAATGGTTTGATTCCTTCCTATTTATGCATGTTTTTCACAAATGTTACAAAAGAATAATGCTTGAAATTACAGTTTGTGATATTAATAAGCACAAAAGAAACTGCTATTTTTATAGATATTTTTACGAAACTATGAAGAATCACAATCACTTAGTTTTAGCATCTGGTGAAATTTAAAAAAAATTAATGAGACTATGGAATGCCCAAATATATGTACTTATAATAAAAATGATTTTGTTAATCTGATGAAGTTTTAAAAGTTTGAATATGTATAGGTCACATGCAGTGTTTTGAAATCCGATCCAGATATCTTTACGGGTTACTGGGTTATTGGATAGACCGCGGGTGAACACCAAGTTAATAAATTAATTTATTAACTATGGAAAAATATGTATTCTATGTCTAAAATTATTTAGGAAATACTTAACTATAGTTTCTTTATTTTTGTTTTTATCTGACATACAAGATATTAAAACAAACTTTAGCTTATTTAACAATTTTGTAACAAACTAGAAGTTATGATAAAAATTAAAATCTATATGATAATATAAATAACAAAATTACATTTTAAATCTAAAACATACCAAAAGTAAAACATCAAACTGTAATAGATTAATTGTTGTAATAAAAATATACTAATACTAAATTACATCAACCAATTTTTGTATTCTCTATTATCGTTCACTTCATTTTCTTCCCGTGACATAGTGAAATATTCATCACAATCTTAACATCATAAATAATATATTTAATCGGTGTTATGTATGATAGGAAAAATCAAAAAGTTCAATCAAAATTAGATAATTACCATCAAAATTTTTTGGTGTTGTCATTTCATCATCTTTAGGTATTTTTCAGCAAGAGTATTCTCTAATTCATTAAAATCAAGCTTTCCATGTTCTTCTTCTTCAACAATCCAAAACAGTCTTGTCTCTGAAAGTTACTTACTTGTTCAATCGGTAGTCGGATTCTGGGTTTTAATGATATTTTGTTGGTTTTATAGGGTTTATAAATAGCAGTAACTTTTGCTTAAAACAAGATAGAATTATTTATCTGGTCATCGAGTTTACCGGTTCAACCACGAATCCAGTTTACCGGTTCAACCACGGATCCAAACAATTTTCAAAACACTGGTCTGAGGGATTTAAGATCAGTTTCAA